CTCTCTCTCTCTCTCTCTCTCTCTCTCTCTTGTTTGGGTGATAAAACGAGCGGAAGCTATCAATTTAGGTTGTTTTGGGCTTGTATAATGGAGAGAACTGCTGTGTTTTCCCCCACTTTTTTGTTTGATATACCCTTAATACTTGTGTACAGAATTGTTTTAGGATGACCAGGTTGGCACTCTTCCCCTTTGGACCCCCTTTGCCTTGAAAGGAGGGTATTTGATTTCTTGTGATTGTATTGAAACTTAAAGGTTGTGACTTGGATTTTTCCTCTCGAAAAGAATTGTTTTATGAAGCGCTCTCTCTCTCTCTCTCTCTCTCTCCCGCCTCCTCCCTCACCCCCCCCCCTCCCTCAAAAAAAAAAAAAATTTCTTGTTTGAAGACTTGGAGCTAGAACATCTCAGATATCAGTGTTTTCTGGATGATGATCTTTAGTATACTAACGCAAAAAAGACTTGTGAGGAAAGGCTGAGGAAGGTTACGAAGAAATAAAATAGAAGGCTATAAACAAAATAGAGGGACACAACGTAATGGAACGTGGCCACATGAAATGAAAGGCCATGAAGAGGATCCTCATGCCAATGAGGATAAGGGAAGTGTTGTCGTATTTGTTTTGAAGTCTTTTTCTGTTTGGTCAGAAAAACGAAGCAATTTTGTACTTCAGTTGATTTGGAAGAAGATTTTGGAATTTCATTTAAAAAATTAATATCAATGAAATATATATTTATATATGAAAATATATAAAATCAATAAAATTAATAAAATATTAAAAATATTAAAAATAAAATCCTCAATAAAATAAATCTTAAGGGATTGATGAGATGAAAGCAAAAGGGGGGAAATTGATTAAGAAGGTTAAACTCAAAACAGAGAGCCATGAGAGACAGCATAAAACCTCGTCCAGGTTGATGTAGCTTAAACCCGGGCAAAACTCTTAGAGTGATCCCCCTTCCTACAGCACACAAATGGCACTTCAGCTTAAAAAGCGAATGATTATTATTTTATAATAATAAATTCATATATATAAAAAACGAATAACTAATATTTATAATTGAACATAACTTTGGCATGAATCATGGGTTTAAATTCTGATCTTGTCTTCACGTGTCTTTTAAGGTCCCATATCTTGAAGTATCGAATATCCTCATGTAACCTCATTAAGGGTATGACTCTTAGTAGAACAAAATGATAGATAAGAATTTATATAGCTGACTACAATTAATTAGAAAAAGACTTCGATGATGATGTCTAAAGGTACGGACACAAGGGTGGGGCTTGTAGAGGTTGTCAACCTTACACTATTAAAGTAAAATGCACCTCGAAACTATGTCGAAAGTGCAGTTTCAAAAGCCTTGTGAATGATATGAAAATCTACTGTTGCCCCCAATTATGAAATTTAAAGTTTAAAAAAGGGAAAAATTTATATAGAACTGAAGCTCTAAACAATCAAATTTGAACCTACCTCAAAAATTTCACTAGAAGAGGTTGTTTTGATATCCAAATATCCTCAAATTGATCATCTCAACATCAAGATGCATGGACATAAGGAAAAAAACGGATTTCAAGTTTTGAAAATAATATATTTTGTAACGCATTTTTAAACCGTTAATTTTCAAGATTTTCTAAGTTTTTATAGATTCTACACTCTTTTTGAAGCTTTAAACTTTATAAATAAAGATGAAAATAAATCTTAACGCTATTACAAATATTTTCAATATTGAAACCACATCTCTCGATACTATTTGAAGGTAAGCTCTAATTTGATTGTTTAGCGCCTAAGCACTATACAAACCATACCCTTTAAAAAATGGTGACAATTAACCAAATCTATAAACACTTGAAAATCTAAATAATAAACGATCCATATATATGGTAGAAGATATATAAGGTAGAAGATAAACGACTTTTAAGACTAGAAATCCTTTTTTTTTCATGTTTATGAATCTCGAAGTCCATACGACCGAATTGAAAGTTTTCCGGCATACGAAAAACCTTCACTAATGGATTTTCAAAGTACACCGTACCTATACAGCATACGTTAGAGACTTTATATAAACTTTTTCCCGGACGCAATGTCCAATTATCATGTCCGCAATGTCTATGGACACGGTGTCCAAGTGTCAATATGCTGTGCCAAACTGAAAATGCGGTCACACGCGTCGGTTACTCTTACAGTGAGGTGATTAACAGTGATTTTCCAAGCCTTGTGATTAAAATGCGGAAACATTTAGATGGAATCATAATCAAGTTCTTCGTTTGTCTTCCTATGACCTAGTCCGATTTATTAAATAATCTAACAACTACTTGAAGGAATTACCAAAAATGTATTAAACCATAGGGAAGCCTGCACATCTACACAGTCCCCAGTCACAAGCCTGATATTGAGAAATCAAATAACACAAACTCATACAAAATAATCAGAGTGAATGGAATGGTACACAATCTACAAGACCCAACACACTCAGACCACCTTTTTTTTCCCTCATTCTTTTCTTCTTTTCCTTTTGACTCCTTTTGGAAGGGGGGGGGGGGGGTCGGAAAGGAAGCTCACAAGCTCGGGTTGTCGCCAGCTGGTGCGGGCCGGGCATTCAAAAGAGGCTGAAGAGCTTTAACCACAATACTCATGTTTGGTCGGAAGTCGGCTTCATATTGAACGCACAGAGCAGCAACAGCAGCCATCTGTAGCAGATTAGAAACCACAAAGAAACACCATGAAAAGGAAGCTTCAATTGATATGTATTCCTTCCACTATGTCTGTTGAAGCAAAAGAAATTGAGCTAGATAAGAGATGTTCACTGTTCATGCTTACAAACATAAGAACAGTATATAATGAGACCATTTACCTTTAATACAAAGTAGTCACAATTAATTTTCACCATTAGATATGAAATTGGGCAGCTACATTTATTCCATTGACTTAAATTCGAAGTTCAAAACAAATTTTTCGAACTTTGTAACACAGCTAAGCTATCATATTTTACATCGGATGGTTATAAATAGTTGTGTGACCTCCTTTTACCAAAAGCAAATGGCCTCATTGTATAAAATCTCATAAAGATATAGGGAGTATAATTATTTTCTCATCTGATCTTCACGTTAGGCACACTACTGTGGCATGGAGGTTATGGTTTCTAAGGATCGTCAATTACATGTCATAGTTAGTAATTATGTCTTTTCTTTTAACTGCTTTTTCAAATAAAATATCTTTTTAAAACTCTATAAATTTTTCAAAGGATAGTTCATTTGGAATTACTCCTATAACTTCTTCATTCGCCTAATAACATGACTTTGTCATGTTTTGTAACTCCCTTCAATATAAGAAAAGACTTCATACAAGCGATAACCATCCTGTAGGGCTATAAAGTGGTGGTAGAATCATAACAAAAAAATTAAATCAAGAACAGAGTAAACCACATCCCTGATTTACTTGCTTTATGCTGATTTTGTCCTCAATGGTAAACCAACCAAAGTTTTAATTATTATTATTTTTTTGAAGTTGTTGTAAACTAACCAAAGTTCATCCATGAAACATATCACAGGTTTGAGAAATGAACGTCATGCCAATGATTTTCCCACTCCTCGGAATAAACGGAAAAAGTCAGCATGGGAAAATTTCCTCAATAAGAGAATGTTTATCCATTGCATTTTTATCGGGAATTATCAAAGAAAAGAATACAGGAGAGCTGAAGCCTAAGCCCAAAGGCCACTAATGAACTTCATCAGAAATTTACGATGTAATGTACAGAACATCTACCTTGGCCACTGCCTTTGGAGGGTATTCACCTCCCAGCCTTGTGTCTACGCATTGCTTAACCTTGTCTTCACTTAGTCTTGGTGTTGCCTGTAGTTTCATTATTCTTAGAAATCAAGTATGCCAAGAAAAAAAACTCCAGTCTGCCCAAACAAGAAATAAAGACGAACATGACAAAAAACCTAAGGTCCGAGAAATACCCATGTCACAAGGCTCTGTTGGCCCCTTGGCAATGTGTGATCAACAGGTTTACGGCCAGTCAAGAGTTCCAAAAGCACAACTCCAAAGCTATAAACATCACTCTTTGAACTGAGTTGTCCAGTCATTGCGTATCTGCCACTCCAGAAGAGATAAATTCAGTAATTGCAATTTCATCAAGGTAATATGAAAATCCGGCACTTGCACTTTAAAAGCATTACATACATTAGCATACATAAACATACAGTGGTGAGAAGTTGATATCTTTAAAAGCTAAGTTTAAAGTTAAACTATATGTTGCAATGATCAAGAAAAATGATGAACTCCAGAGAGCTTAGGTAGCTCAAACCTGAAAGCAAGTGATCTTAGCAAATGATTAACAAGAACTATATTCAAGAATATTCGCTCTCAAAAAAAAAAAGGAATTATACTCTAGATGTAATCTCTTCTAGATGAGGAAGACCATAAAGGAAGCCTTCCAAAACAAATCTCAGATCAACAACCTAGACGTAACCATTCTACTTTGACATCAAGAAGTTTAATTTGATTAAAATTCATGCAGTTCAGATATGGCAGCTCCCATCTGTTCAAACGAATTGTCACTCATGCGTACACTGTTTTGGAAAGCAAAAAATATGTAAATATTTTGGTCCCAGACGTTGAATGATAAAAATATTAAATTCAGTAAAACATAAGAAACTCACTCTGGAGCATGATATCCAAAGGTTCCAAGCACACGAGTGGAATGGAGCCTTGCAGCCATGTCAGGAGCTTGATTCGATAAATCAAAATCAGCTATCTTAGCCACATCATCATCAAAAAGTAAAACATTACTGGACTTGATATCACGATGGATGATGTGAGGTTGTGCTTTCTCATGCAAATACTCGAGTCCTCTTGCAGCTCCTACAGCAATCTTAACTCGCTGTGCCCATGATAGAACTGGACCTGGTTGTGCACCTTTGACACCTTTCCGGCCTAAATGCACACAAACTCCACGATAAAGTCACAGGAAGCAGGAAGCATAGAAAGAATACAAAGTTCAAGAAATACCTAAATGCATTAGCAAAACAATTAACGGAGATAAACAAGGTAGAAGGAGAGCAAACACTGTGCGACCATGTAATTAATGCCATAAAAAAAAGTAAAAGCGTCCTTACCACACATCCATGCATGTGCAGTGTAGACCTCGTACAACACCTATTAAAAAGTGCGGGTTGGTTCAAGTGGAAGACTCAAAAAAGGCAACGTGTAGGCCCAAAGGATATGGTTCGAAGTAGTGAGAAAAGATATGACGACTTATGGCCTCACTGAGGGCATGACCCTTGATAAAGCAGAATGACGGACCAAGATTCATGTAGCCCACCCTAAATAGTCGAGAGGTTTTGATGATGATGATGACCACACATCCATGCATACTTCAAAAGAAATTGTTTGATTGAATTGCAAAACTTCAAATTTGTGTGAAATGGACCAGTACATCATATATCTCCCCTATATCTTTCCAAATACGGTTGTGGAATGCGGGATCAAATGCAATAAGGTTAAGAATCATGATGAATAATCAGGTATATTAATTTGTATGGTCATCCTATGCAGTAACTCATTCCTACAGTTATGCTGCATATATATTCATTTCCATAATAATGCTCAATAATCCTGTGGTAGCATGGACTAATCCTTGAGTAAATGAATCACTATGAATTTACCTAAGGAATATGTTCTTTGTTGAAACATATGGCATGCATATAATCATGATAACAAAATCATTAGCAGCATTCTTGTGGCAAGGGTACTTCATCTTTTTTCTTTTTTCTAGTTGCTTTAGGTGAGTGCTTCAGTGCTCCCAAATTTTTTATTAACTTTAATTTCTTAAAATTTCCAGAACATTTCCTTCAACTATAGTGTTTAATTATATTTAGCATTAGCAAGGATCTTACGATTCCAGAGCCAAGCCAAGTTGGTCCATCATTGATTAGTAGGCCTCCATCTCCCTCCTTCCTTCCATCCCTCCATACACACACACATGCAGAAGACTTGAAAAACCATATATTGCGAATTCTATTATAAAATGTGGTATATAATAACCAGAGTGATTATCCTGCAGCCAATGAAAAATCGTGAGAATACAGTTAATTACCATGAAGAATGTCGTGGAGGGATCCCATTGTAGCAAACTCATAGGCAAGAACTCGCAGGTTTCCATCAACACAATAGCCTACCAGCTCCACAACATTTTCATGCGTCAGCCTTGATACCATTGATACCTACAGAGACACTTTAACAACTTTAGCAACATTTTCAAACTCCAAACAACCAAGAGAACTTGGACACTGTATTACAAACTAGAGATCTAACCTGTGCAAGAAATTCCTGGTCTGGTTGTTTACTGGCATCCAACTTTTTGATGGCAGCAGCTTGCCCACTCTTGAGGACACCATAGTATACTCTTCCATACGAACCTTCCCCAATCAAAGCCTTGGACCCAAAGTTGTCTGTTATTTCCTTGAGCTCGTCTACCGAAATAGCAGCGACTTCAATGGGCTGGACCTGCACAACTTGAGATCCCTTTGGAGCTGCATCTGCAGCTTGATGGTTACCAACATTGCCTGCATAATTTACTTCTGATAAATACACACCGACTCCAGAGAAAATACAGAGAAACATTTGATCCTCTCAAGACATTTTACTTTATTTATTTAGTACGAGTAACAGACACTAGAAATTGCTTCCAGATATTTTATTCACAGGCATTTACCTAAAAAAGTACTAAGAAGGACACAAAAAGGAGACTTGGTAGAGTAAATAAAGCATCAAGATCAAATATTGTGGTCCTCTCAAGGTGAGAATCAAATGGTGAATCTTCTTAGGGCAAAATTAACAGAATTTACAAATCAAAATACTAAATGGACAAACCACAAAGTTCTTCTTAGGGCAAAATTAACAGAATTTACAAATCAAAATACTAAATGGACAAACCACAAAGTTCTTCTTAGGGCAAAATTAACAGAATTTACAAATCAATATACTAAATGGACAAACCACAAAGTTGATAAGGATACATCGGTCTATAATAGAAGGACAATCATAGATGTGGTAAGGACAATCATAATGCTAAATAATTATAGTACCTCCTGCATGGTCACATAAATGAAATAATTCTTTTTGGGCTACAAGAAGCTACAATTTAGAAATGAAATACCACAATACGCACTACAAATTTAACATACATAAACATACTTTGAGCCTATCCTTTCTACAAGGTATGGCATGATAGGAAAGAGCACTAAGCATATATAGGACTACATCCGACAATTGAGCTTTGTAAAGCATTCCCAGGAATGTGCGACTTATGTTCAACAGGGGCATTTTTCTTACCCAAACTATTAGCCTCAAATTTCATGTTACCATTGATGATGGTAGACAGTTTGGCATAACTCGTATATAACAGTGTTTTCCTTTGGAATTGGTAACTTATTAGAGCGGAAGCATCTACAAAACGCCTATAGGTGAAGTTCTATAGTACTTCACCTACACCTCATCACCGTCTAAAGTTTATCACACGGTCACAGTTATCCGGTAATATTTGAATTTTTATAATTATTGTACTAATCAAATTTATCTAGAATTGGCGTGTGCGTACATATGACCAAGTCGCACCAAAATAAAATATTAAAAAAATAATAGACATAAAATAAAACAACAAAATTACCCCTAAAACTTTATAGGGGTATTTTGCTCAATCTTTATCATTCAAATTATTTGTTTTATATTTTATTAATGTGCGTCTCACTAAGGTGCACACACCTACAAAATTTCAGATCATTATGATTTCTAAAAAAAAACATTAAAATTCAAACACTATCAGACATCTGTGATCGTGTGATAAACTTTGAATGGTGATAAATCCGTAGGTGAAGTAATGTAGAACTTCACCTATAGGTGTTTTCTAGTGTTGTCCTATTAAAGCTTACAAACAAAACCAAAGAACAAGAAAAATCAATAACAAAGAAAGTACAGGTATGTTTTGGGAAGAGAAATGGATGTTCCACTAGGAATGGCATCGAGTCCTATACAGTGACATACCAAAGGTAAACTTTCACATTATAGGAACATGATGGCATTATTAAAAGAGAAAATGAGTCACCAGGAAGAACCACCCTTTCTTTTTTATCAATTTATAACCACTTACTTCACTCTAGCATTTTGTTTCTGTCGTCCAATATCAAGTTTTTGTTTTAGCCTAGAATATTTGAAGGAAATATATCATGGTACATGTTTATATCCTGCTCGGATATAAACAGCTCCCCAGACTGTCCAACGTCATAAGCGGACATCTAGGGAGTGATGGTTTCTCTGCAAAGTCCTTCAAAACTTTTGGCAGACATTTATTAAAGGAATTAAGCCCACAAAATGTCCCTAGTTAACATCAGATAGTTGAGGGAGCTGTTTATATCTATGCGGGATGTAAACATGTATTAGAGTATGCCACCCTTATGCTGTCTTGGTTTATGTGGGTTCTAATCTGCATTTAATAGATTGGGTGGAGGAGAGCCAATCTCTGCAGCTTGAGTGTAACAAAGAAGAAAGTAATTAACTTCAAACAAAAGCCCAAAATATAAATAAATAGCCACCTAACCAAGGTAAATTGTCTGGGTTTAGTTACACTTATACGCACAATTAAATTAGAGCTTGCAGTTAACAGTTCACCTGCCATATTGTTTGCCATAAAGGGGTTTCCACCATCAGAAGCTTTCTGGATAGGATCATCTTCACAGCAACTAAAGCAGCCCATGATTCCTTTAAAATGTCAACCACCCCGAACCTTAAAAGATTTCCCAATAATAAGAACTAGATGGCACTAAAGCTTAAGCATAAATAACTAATAAAAAGTAGAAGGCTGTAGCTCAAACATAAATAGAGCAAATGCAGAGAAAGCCAGAACAAAGTACCACAACGAATTTCAGAAATCATTGGAAGCTCAAAGTACAATCCAGTAACCATGTTCTACAACAACGAGAATCCAGATCTATATCGCCTAAACACTTTAAAGAGAAACATGATCAACTTTCTATGCCTATGATGCATTGTTTCCCGATGAGTAATGTCTATGCTGCATAATTTACAACAAAACATGTGTAAAATTTGAATCGTAAGTATTGAAAACATCCAAAGTCAGCTTATACATTATTCCCAATATATTGTCCTTTATTTTTATGTTTTCCATAAAATTTCTACAGTTTTTTAATTTGAATGACGTATGATTTCTCAAGTAAACACCTCATCAGAAACAACCATTAATAGCACTGGAGATTGCAGAATTGATTAGCCCAACAAAAGAATCCTTTCAACTCATCAACAAACCTGAATCCACTCCTGTATAAATATATCTATATATCTTTCGGCAGAATATACCCAATCTGCCTTTCTTCTCTACTGTGATTTCCCTAGTGAATTTTGCAGAGCTGCGATGCCTGATTCTTCTAAATGATTCAGGAGATCTGGAGTTACAAATGTAAACAACAAAAACGCCAGTGAATAAACCATAATCAGAGAAGAAAATATAGGTACAGATAGAGAGAGAATAGGGCTTTGTGTATTTGAGAGTTCTACACGATCGAGCTCCAGAAGTACAAACCCTATATCAAACAAAAAATAGAAGAGAAAAACAAAGAATATCCAGACATGCTGCTTCTAAAGTGTCATTCGCCGTAAATAACAGCAAAATCCCCAAAAAAATTACTCTGTAATCTCTCCATCTCCAGACTAGTATCAACTGAAATCTTCTCACACTCAATTACTACTGAAAAAAGATTTAACTGTAAGTAACAAATCCATAAAACCTAGTATTCACTCAAAATTTTGCAGTGGATAGAATCAGTAGTCACAAGTATGAGAGAACAATCAAATCTAAACCCTAAAACAAAAAACTCAAAGGTCAATTAAGTAACAGTTCCAGTACAGCTGATCTTCTTACCTGGTTTGTTTCATGAAAAATAGAAAAAATAAAGACAAATAATACTAAAAAATAATGCTTTTCTCATGGAAATTACCTGAAAAAATTAGGGCAAGAAGAACGTTCTCTGTACTGTGAGCCTGCAAATTTTACAGTAAAAGAAACGCGAAGAAAACAGAGTCGACAAGGCAAACGAAATCTTTATTTATATATAATACCCAAAAAATGATTCTTTTCGATTTCGGACACCAGCCACCCATAATTTCGATATGTCCACCTAAAACATAGATGAATGACAATCAGACATATTGTAAACAAAATCGGACATCTGGACCCCGCGAGTCTTATGTCTGCTCTCGGACAAAGACGGGTAAACGTAAAGATTTTTTTTAATTCTTTTATTTGCTCATCTTTTTGTTGATCAAATTTCAAATAGTAAGCCAAATGATGCATCAAGTGGGTTTTGAAATTGGGTGCACTTTGCATACGGATGCATCCGTAGGTGTAGAGATAAGGTACACTTTTAAATTTTATCATGGTATATAAATTTGATGTAAAATGTTCTTAGGACTATCTCAAAATCTATTTTTATATTTAATTATAAAATTTTAAATTTAAAAAATAGTTAAAATCAAGTAGATCTATAAACATATAAAAATTTGAAGGTGCACCTTACCTCTACACTTACAGATGCATCCATATGCAAACTGCACCTTGTAAACAAATGTTATGTTAGGGTGTTCACATTATGAAGTAATTTATCATTGTATTCAACAAATTTAGATATTTCTATACCCTTATTTTGTACATATATTATTTTTTAGTAAGAGTCTTTTTTATCATTAGGGGTATGATGTCATCTACATATGGGTGTGACATCACCCACATGGAGCACACTAATCGCATTTAATGCCTATGTGTGTGATGTCGCACATATGTAGATAACGTCATAACCCTCCAAATGACTAAAGATACCCTTATTAAAAAAATCTCCATATACAAAACAATAGTATATAAATGTCTAAATTCTGTTGAATACAATGATAAATTACTTCATAGTGTGAGCACCCTAACATAACCTTTTAAACAAGTATGCAAGGTCTTTTATCTAGAAACCAACAAGGCAATTGTTTTCTTGTTTTTACTATATAATTCATCCCATTGTTTTCAAATTGGCCATCCTAAGCAGTGTTGTCAAACTCGTTTCGCTTCGGCTTAAGAGGTTGAAGCCTTCAGATTTTAAACCTAGACCAAAATGAAGTAAAACCTAGTGCCGCCGCTTCAGTCAGATTCGAGCTGCTTCGGCCTGCTTCATATAGATTTGAGTACTCTTCGTGCCTCTTCAGTCGAAGCAAATAAATATCAATATAAATTTTTATTATTATTTTTGTTTCATTATTTTTATATATAAATATCAATGTTTTTATATTAACTTTAAAAAATAGACATCCAAAGTTTTCCTATCCAAGCACCGATTTGTTTCATTTTTCTAACCGAAAAAAACTCCAAAACCAAATATGAGAATATTAATCTTACGTAGGTGAAGAAATGGGTGGATTACTGAAATTAAGGGTGGCATGAGAGAAAGCATGGATTACCCAGACGGCGAAGCGTGTCTAAGGTACGTGTTTTTGACGGAGAGGTGGGACCCTTTTCCCAGTTTTTCAAAGGAGAATGAATAATAAGGGCGTGCACATTTTCTCAAAATATCTATAATAACCCCCCATAATTGAAGGCAGTGTTTTAAAAAACTCCAAATCGAACCGGATTCGGAAATCGCAAAAAATGGATCGTATTGATTAAAAAATCGGAGATCGTCCGATTCTAGAGAGAACCGGACGATTCTGTACAGTGACACGCTGATTCACTGTACGGAATCGGCGAGTCCGAACAGTGAATCGACGAGTCCCGTACGAAATTATTATTATTATTATTATTTTCTTTCTTCTTTTTTTTTTTTTTTTGTAATCCATAATAGATTTTTTTGTAATACTTGATCGATTTTTTTGTAATCCATGATCGAATTGTTTTTGTTTTTTTGTAATCCATGATCG